GGTCAGAATCTAATCCTCTGATCTGATCTCCTGCTCTGACCTCCCCCTGATTGGCGTTCTGGAGTTTCTCGGGAATCAGAAATCTAAATACTGTATTATATTTAGCTTATCTCCTTGGTACAATTGAGGGATGGGGCTGACCACACGGGAAACCCAGGAACACAGCTGAGTGAGGTGCTAGGGAGCCGTGGGCCCGGTGGCTGGAACAGGAGCCAGAAGAATGGGCCACACGTTGACACTCGCCCAAGCTCTGCCCAGAGGTCCCCAAGACGCCCAAGTTCTGCCAAGAGGATGCCCAAGACATTCCCAGACAGCTGGTCAGCAAAAGGCAGCCTGACAAGCCGCTGGCCACCAATGGACGCAGCAGGTGGGCAATAAAAGTTCGGTGAATGCGTGCAAAGCAGGTGATTCTTAAAATAGCAAATAGCATAAAACCAAGAACAGCCAGGAGTTAAAGCGAGTCCACTACATGAATAAGAATCCTCCCTCATGGAAAAAAAGAAGAGAAGAACAGTCTCTCATTTGATGGAAACATGTTACCTCTTCTAAATAAGCCCCTTTGTTCGCAGGAAAGGAGTCTCCACGGGGCTGTCCTGCTCAGCTCATTGGCTTCTACCCTTTTCCACGCGGCTACAGAAAGGCCAGCCCACAGGCCTTCTGCAAAGCAACTCAGGCTTCCTCCCAGCATAAATGTTCACCAAAGCCTGCCTCTAAATCACATTAACATAATCTCAACCAAACATGCAAGACGCATTTCTAAGTGCTCTATGGGCACTACCTCATTTACTGCTCTGGTGAGGCTGGCATTATTATTCCCAGTTTACAGAAGAGAAAACTGAGGCACGGAGAAAATCTCGCCCAAGGCCCCAGAGTGGCCCAAGAGGAATTTGAACATGGGCGTTCCGTCAGACTCCAGAGTTCATAGCACTTGACACCGGCCAGTACTGCCGTATGGGGTGGCTGCAGTTTCCAACAAGTTTCATTTCATGGGGATACTGGGCACACGTGGCAAGTGCCAAGGAGCACAGGTACATCCAGGTCTGGACGCGGAGAAAGCAGAGGAAAAGGCGACGCATGGCCTGGCCTGAAGGAGGTCTGGTGAGACTGCAGGAACCCCAACGTGGAAGTTTATCTTCCTTCCCAGAGGCTTCAGAACAGCCAGCTTGAATCCCAAAGCTGAATGACAGGGATGGCTTTGAAGGCATCAGAAATTATCCCGAATCAAACGAGCAATGCGTTGCACCAAGGTCCTCCCTCCGGCTCCAGACCAGGCAGGTGCATGGGCCTCCATGCCACCAAGCCCAGGGAAGGCTCAGGCTCTGTCTTGCCTCCTGCCCCACCTGTCCCAGCCACACTCTGCGTTGCACCACCCCTCCCCATCCCGGGCTCCTTCGTGTCTCCATCCTTCTCTGACCCTGCTTAATGAAACAGCTCTGGCTGTGACGATGAAAACACCTAATGTTTACCGAGTACTTGCTGTGTGTCAAGTAACCACAGCTCTCATGGGATGAAGCTGCTGTTATCATCCTATTTGACAGATGAGGAAACTGAGGCTGCAAGTGGTCAAGCAGTTTGCCAAAAGTCACCCAGCTGGTAAGCCTACCAGGCTGAATCCACAGCTCACGCTCCCAGGCCCAGGACCACGCTACCTTTCCACGTTCACAGGACTTGGGCCTCAAATAAACTTCCCAGCTCCAGCCAGGAGTTTGAAATTCTGTCAGCACAGCTTTATTTGTTTGAGGAATAGTCCCTACTAACAGGCATGCTCCTTCCTCATTGATCCCAACCAAATATTTATGATTCAGTGGAAACTAAATTAGCAGAGCCCCAGGCACCTGGGGCTGCCCTAATCCTAACCAGAACAGAGGTGTGCCAGGAGCAGTGAAGGCCTAAGGAGCCTGTAACAGAAGCTCCAGCCCCTCTCCATACAGACCGATGCTCTCCTCAGTGATTGTTTTCTCCCTCTCACTCCCAAACATGAGGTTCTCTGTGCTACGTAGACTTTAAGGTCCCCCCGCTCCATGGTCCCCACCTCCTGTATTCACATCTTGTGTGATGCCCTCACCTTGAATGCAGGCTGGACATGTGGTCTTGTTTCTAGCAAATATAATACAGCAGAAGTGAAAGATGTCACTTTGGAGAGCAGGTTTTTAAAAGACTGTGGCTTCTGTCTTGGCTGTTCTGCCTCATTCTCTCTGAGGTCACTCACCCTAGAGGACGCCAGCTGTCATGTCACGAGGCAGCCCCAAGGGGAGATCCACAAGGTGAGGGACCAAGGCCTGGCCACCATCACATGAGTGAGCTTCCGAGTGACTCCCTTCACTACAGAGGAACCTTCAGATGAGGCCACAGCCCCAGTCAACAACTTGACTGCAATTTCATGAGAAATCTTGAACCAGAGGTACCCGGCTAAGCCACACGCAGATTCCAGACGTACAGAAACTCTAAGATAATAAATGTTTGTTGTTTGCTAAGTTTGGGGGCCCTTTGTTATATAGCAATAGACAACTCGTACACTCTCATCTTACTCCAGGGAATCAAAACCCAGATCTCTATTTCTAAGAATCACAATGTCAGCTCCTCCAGGGACTGCAGAGAAGCCCCAGCCTGCTCTTTGCTTTACTAGCAGAGCCAGACATATTCCCTTCCAGAACCTTCCCATCAGAAGCTCTGCCAGCAATCTTCACCCTGGGAGATAAGACAGCCCCCCTGCCAGCTGACTCTCGGCAGGTGTAGAAATATGCTGTGTGCTACAGGTAGAAATGGACAGGGATGCAAGGACCAACTAAGCTCCAGATCTAGAAAAAGAGGGTCAGGGCTTTGAACGTGCAGAGCAAGAGGTTATTGGTTGTGTTGTACAACATCAAACCACTCAGTAGACCTCAGAGCTGGAACTAGCTCTCTTCCCATCAAGGCATCAAGAAAATTTCGTGCATCCTCAGCAAAGTTACCACCCAAATTTTGAATTGAAGACCAGGGGGTTACATTGTCTACTCCAGACTAAGCATTCCATCATGTACACAGTGGGTTTTGAAATAATTGTTGGATGGACAGATGGACGGATGGATGGATGGATGGATGGGTGGGTAGGTGGATGGATGGACGGATGGGTGGATGGCTGGATGGCTGGGTGGCTGGACTGATTGTTAGGTGGTTGGGTGGATGATTAAATGGTAGATGGATGGATGGATGGATGGTTAGATGGTTGGACGGGTAGGTGGATGGATGGATGGGTGGGTAGGTGGATGGATGGACGGATGGGTGGATGGATGGATGGATGGATGGCTGGATTGATTGTTAGGTGGTTGGGTGGATGATTAAATGGTAGATGGGTGGATGGATGGATGGGTAGATGGTTGGACGGGTGATTGGATAGATGGATGGATGAATGGTTGGATGGATGGATGGAAGGAAGACCCTCCCTATAGAAAGTTGCTATTAAGAATTCCTAATCTAGTAGTCAATCTGACAAAACACAGTAAGCTAAATTCCTAATCCCACCCGCTGTACCTCACAGATCTTATCCAATAAATGCTTATTATTTAGATATTAAAAGCTTTCTCACAGGTCCATTACATCGAACTCACGGCTTTCAAATGACTCTTTAGGTCTTTCACAGGGTATGATTATGTTAAATTGGAGCACTGATACCACTTGCAAGAGCATCTTTTGTTCTTTGTGCTTCCTTCAAGAATTGCACAGAAGATAAACGGCTGGTTGGCCATCCCTGGGCCAGACTAATTGACTAAGTCCTGGGGCCCACTTTCCATCTAGTTTCCATCTAGTTCTAGAATTTTCCCAGTATAGTGGGCACTGGATAAGTCCTAAGTGACTCTAAAGCCACAGACCCCAAATATGATCCCAGGTATGTAAGCTCAACCCCCTGCCAGCCCACCAAAGCCAATGTGGTCTCTTGGGGCCAACAGGAGGGGAGCCTATCATTTGGCTATTTGCCTTGCAGTCTTTTATTGCATTCTACAAACATGGGGATCCCAAAGTAGTATCCAGCATTTGAATGAGGCTGAGACGGTCTTTAACTAAGCATGGGGCCTCTCCAGGGTTCATGAACGATGGCAAAGATCCTCCTGCAAAGGGATGGACCGAGCACTAGGAAGGAGAGTAAAGGGAAAGGCAAAATAGAAGTCAGGTGGTTGTGAGTCTGAATCTTGTCTCTGTCTCATAGCAGCTGTGTGACTTCGGGTGAGTTACTTAACCTCTCTGTTTCCTCCTTTGTAAAATGAGAATAAACTGCACCTTCTTCATAGGTTGTGGTGATGATGTAATACATGTAAAGTACTGAACACCATGCCTAACACATAGCAAACATCACATGATGTGATGGTCAAAAGGGGAGAAGCATCAGGAGAAGAGCCAGGGTCATCGGGAAGGTGAGGCAGAGGGAGCTTTGAATGGGTAAAATCTGCAGTAGATAGAATAGAGTTGGGGCTAAACAGAGGAGAAAGGAAAGGGCAGAAATTATAAGGAAACTTTTCCTAAATAGATTTTCCAGGGCAGGGACAGGGTAGGAGGGATCATTGAGTGACCTGGTTTTCCTAGCTCTTGGATCCTGCCAAGATCTTTGGATAAGGCATTCCAGAAAATTCCAGAAATTTCTCACTTCTAGCTTAAAGAATTACCAGGCCCTTCTTCCTCTTAATTTTCCAAGGAATTTGCTTCATCTTTGTTTAGTCACCTGTGACCTTGCAGTTTTCACAGCACGTTCAACCATAATCCTTTGAGCAAACAGGTGAAGGGAAAAGGACAATGAAAGAGTTCCCAGGTGCAGTCTCCCCTTTCGGTTGCCGGGGGACCTCCCCCTGCCGGCCCAGGAGGAGAGGGTTAGCACAACTGGTTCTGCACTGGAGCTGCGGTCGGGGGTTGCATCCAACCTGCGCAGAGACCGCCTTTCCCTGCCTGGCCAGGTGGTCCTCCCAAGTCTAGGAAGGGAGGCTGTACCTCTCCACTGGGAGGAGGGCAGAGGGGAGGGGAAGCTCACCTACCTGGACACTCCTCGTTGCTGCAGACCCACTGGCTGTTTCGGCAAATGCTGTTGGGGAGAGAAGCACGGGTTACAGGTGGGTCTGCAAACGCAGGCATCCCTGAATGGATTTAGAGAGTGCACTGCCCATCCCACAGCCCCAGGGAAGAGGTCTGAGAGAAGAAAGGCGCTCACGCCTGAGGGGGCTTCATGAGGCTGAAGGTGTACAGGAAGGGGCTTTGGCCACAGAGGAATCATGGAGACAATGCCAAGGGGAAGAAACCCCAACAGACAGATAGAAGAAGAGGGAAACCTAGGGGGTCTACCCAAGCACTAAGTCAAATTCCAAACACACACACACACATGCACATATGCGTACACACACACAGCTGGTAGAAGACCGGAGGAAGGGCTGGCTGCTGACAGGGGTAACACCCTGGTCCATGCTGGGCAGCCCTTGAGACTCCTGGAAGACTGCCCAGTAGGGAAAGGTAGCCAGCGAAGAGGTCTGGAGGCGTTCTCCTCCCCCCGTTTGCAGGGGACAGACAGACCCAGCCCAGGGAGCACCAGAGGGGCTTCTGGAGGAAACGGCTCAAGCAAAGCAGAGGCAACAGGGAGAGAGAGTCACTTATTAAAGCACGGCTGGGGGGAGAGCTAGAGATGGTGTCTGCACGTGAAGGGGCCTTCACCACCACCCCCAGCCCAGGCCAGGGCCTGTTCTACTGCCGGTGCCCTCACTGCCCCTGCCGGCCCAGCTGCCCCTCCCCCAGACCCAGGCAGCTCTCGCAGACCACACTGCTCGGCCCCAATTACCAGGTGTTGCAGTCTCTTGAGAGAGAGGCGCCCGGAGGGTACCGCTTCCCAGAATGTACGCAGGAACACTCGGCACTTTCCACACAGCGGCCTCCGTCAAGGAGCTGTCCCTCTGGGTCAAGGGGAACAAGGCAAAAAGACTCGACCTTGGCATCATCATTACTCATCTCACAACCACAGAAGCCCCCGGGGTGATCATCAACTCAGGGCTTCTTGCAGGAAGCTCAAAGGACTCGTTCTGCGATGCTTATCTTTCACGGTTTGCAATGAGAGCGAGGAGGGCTATTTATCTCCACTCTAGTGACGAAGAAATGGGGGAAACAGGTTTGTTCAAAGGGCTTCCAGTAGGGAAGCCGGGAGTCTAGCCTGAAGGCTTCTTCCAGGAAGCTCAAAGAACTTGTGCTATGTTTATCTTTCACAGCAATGCAGTGGGAGAGCGGGGGAAAATTATTTATCTCCATCCTATCAGATGAAGAAAGGAGGCAAGGGTTTTGTTCAAGTTCCTCCAGTAGAGAAGTCGTGAGTCAAAACACACACTCTCAGTACTTAACCAGATCTTTCCACCAAAGCTCACAAGGTCTCTCCTGAGAAAGACTTCCTGATGCAAAGTTCTTTTTCAGCTGAGCTCACACGACAAGCCTAGGAAACAGTTGAGACTATCTTTCTCCCAGACAATTCCCTGACGCTTAACTGAGAAAACACTGCAGCTCAGATAGGGCCACGTGCTCCCCAAACAAAGTCACTCTTGGAGCCCAGACCATCCTTCTATTCCCCAGACACACGTGCTTTCACGGATACAGTGCAACAGGAAAACATAAATTAGAAATAAATACCAGCTCGATCCTCATCACTCCATACAAAGACTTTTAAAAACTAAATCAAAGGCCTCTGATGTCGGCAATGGGGAACAAGCACAGGTGTCCTTCATCCTGCTTCCCCAAGCCAAGGGCACCGGCGAGGTCTCAGATCTGTAAGTAAAGTGGGAAGTCATTACCAGGGCAGCTGCAGCCATCCACGCACTGCTGCTGACACACTTCACTGACGTGCAGGCTCCGGCAGTCTCTGGGGCAGGGGGACACGCATGCCTTGTACTCCATGCCCGCGGGGCAGTCCGGTCCTGAAATGGAAAACTCAGGAGTCTGCCCGGAGCTGTTCCCTTCCAGGGCAGCATCTCACAAGCCACGTGGTGCTCAGAGCCCCTGTGCCCCCTTTGTCTGCCCCCCTCTGTCTTCAGGGACCATCTCCACCTCAGTGGCACCCCAGGGGCCAACGTCCCCGGCTGAAAATGCAAGGCCCCCAAGGCCAAGCAAGGGGTAAATGGTGTCCTCCATCCCATCCCTCCTCTGAGGGTTCCTCGTCCTCAAGAAATAGGGCCCAGTCAGATGCCCCACCCAGCACTGGGCACACAACCTCACGGCCACGACCCGCACAAGGCATGTTCATTTCTTTCTATGTCCACTGAGGCAGGATAGCCCTGGCAGCCACATCACCTAAGCCTCCATCCTCCCGCTGGACCCAGCGCCTAATGGACAAGGACAGCCCTCCTTTCTCTCTTCTCTTCACCTGCTGCTGACTGACGCTCAGGCTGAAGGACCGGAAGGGCCAGAGCATCCCAACATCCCAAACCACTTCTCCTCCAAGATACCTCAGGCATCTCCCCATCCTTTCTTCAAAGACCTAAAAAAACAGCCACTCCCCCTTCCAGAGGAGAATGCTGCTGCTAATAACCACCCTTCTCACACCCCACAGCAAAGATGGACAGCTCTGATTTATAAGCTGAAAGACACAAACTGAAAGGCATGTGTGCAGTGTAAGTACTGGGGCTGCTCCCCTCCACAGTCTGTGCCCCCTGTGATCTGTGGGAAGTCGCGGCGGGGACAGGAGGCTGCCGGCAAGGTGACTGGAGAAGCTCGTACTTAATCAGGATAATTTGGGGGTGGCGACAATGACAATGACTAGGGACCCACGAGATTAGAGGGAGAGGGGGAGGGATGGTGACACCTGCTGGAAGAGAGAAGGGATTAAATGAAAGGGAGGAACTTGATAAAAGCCTGCCAGGATCCCAAGATCACCCCGGGGACACTTCGGCCACCGCCCTGCTCCCAGTCAGTTCAGACTTTAACTGCTGCGATTCCCCTCGGAGCCAGGAACGGTTTTTGAGTCCAGTGGATGGATTTGCTCACGGGCAAGCGAGGAAGATGGGGAGTGAGAACAGAGGCAGGAGAAGTGACGTGGGGGCTTTTAGGGGGACCTTTCAAGCCTCCTCGAAGCCATTAGGGAGGGGACTTGCTCTGTGACCAGGGGACAGAGCAGGAGCCAGGCGGGAACTGGTCCCCGGGATGTGGGTCTTGGCAGGCACTGGCTGGTTGGGGTGTGACAGCCGGAGAGCTTGTGGAGTGACACCCAGATGGACACAGCTCACCCCCCCCGGTGGGGGTCCCATGCTGACTCACGGCAGGAGCTGTGGTCCGTCCAGCCATACAGCAGCATCCCCTGCTGGGCGCAGGCCCGGGCGTACTCCAGGAGCACAGGGCAGGGGCACAGCAGCCCCTGGTCACACGTGCACAGCATCCTCTCACACAGGGCCACGAAAGGCTCGGGGTCCACCAGGGGGTGGCAGCGGGCGAACACCGAGGCACTCTTCAGAAGCTGGCACTGCTCCCACAGGCCCTGCAGGAGGGAGAGGCCACCTCAGCGAGGGCGCCACCCACGCAGTCTGGCATCCCCTGACCTTGGTGCTTGGAGACCCACCCTGCCCGGAAACCCAAGCATGCTCGCTCACACCTAGTAGGTGCTTGTCAACATCTGTCAAACGAAACAGTCCAGTCAGTGGAACACTGTCGGACCCCTGCTTGGTGGGGCAGCCCGAGACCAGGGCGACCTCCTAGACTGAACCCTGGAAATGCAGAGGCCAGGGCCCTGACCTCCACTGGAAGGCAGTGTCCTCTGAAGGGAAAGAGCAGAGGGACACTCATGAAAGGAGCTGAACCTGAAGTTCTCATGGAGGCCACGTGGCTCAGAGACCAGGAAGGCCAGTCAGCATCTACTCCGCACGCCCCGGTCCCCTCCCCTCCCTGACCTTGGTTCCTCCACCAGAGATGAGGAGGTGCCACAAGGAGTTTTATAAAGTGGAGCTTCCCGGGCCTCATCCACAGAGATTTAAACTCGGTGTGTCAGGGATGGAGTTGAGCAAACCTTCCCCAGAGGATTCCTGGGACAAGACTGGACCAGTTCCCATCAGCAAAAACACGCCAGGACTCTATGATGTGTGCCAGGGCGCTGCCAGGCAAGGACTCTTCCTGGGTTTTATCACTTGGTTGCCAACCTCGACCCCACGACACAGGCAGGTTTGAAATGGTTCTCACTGACGACTCCTGGACACACGTTAGCACAAAACCCTCCCCATACACCGTATTTGTGAGCATCTCTGCATTCTGTGTTTTGGTCACTCATTTATTTATTTATTTATTTATTTTTGGCTGTGTTGGGTCTTCGTAACTGTGCACAGGCTTTTGCTAGTTGCGGCAAGTGGGGGCTACTCTTCGTTGCAGTGCGTGGGTTTCTCATTGCGGTGGCTTCTCTTGTTGCAGAGCATGGGCTCTAGGTGCGTGGGCTTCAGTAGTTGCAGCACGTGGGCTTCAGTAGTTGCGGCATGCGGGCTCAGTAGTTGTGGCTCGTGGGCTCAGTAGTTGTGGCTCGTGGGCTCAGTAGTTGTGGCTTGCGGGCTCTAGAGCACAGGCTCAGTAGTTGTGGCACACGGGCTTAGTTGCTCCACGGCATGCGGGATCTTCCCGGACCAGGGCTCGAACCCATGTCCCCTGCATTGGCAGGCGGATTCTCAACCACTGCACCACCGGGGAAGCCCTGTGCTTTTAGTAATTTAAATGCACATTTTTTCATTATGTAATATCTCTGAAATTGGGTGCATCTTACAATCGACATCACACTTTGTCTTAGATTTAACACAACACAGTATTGTTGCTATTAGTGATCCCCACTGGGTGCATAATTCCTTTCATGCACAGACATGCTCTCCAAATGAATGGAAGCCAGCTGTTTGTGAAAGGACTTCAGCTAAAATGAAAGGAGTACGAGAGCATCTGAAGGAAGGGCTGAGCCCTGGAGGGTAAATCCGAGCAAATTGGCTTTCGTAAAGGGGACAGTAAAAGAAGGAAAGAAGTGACCAGTTTTGAGAAGAGGGAAATCCAATCTGCTCAAACTGTACAAGGGATGGTCAGAGCAAAGCTGTGTAAATCAAGAGCCAGGAGGAGCCAGGCCTGTGGCCTCTGGAGGAATAGAAACCTGATCCAGTGCTCAACACTCAACACCCAGAAGACCCACCTGGGGAAGCACCAGGGCCATGCTGCGGTCCTAGGGAAACCTGTGTCTTATCCCTGCCCAGCCTACACAGTCTGCCATCAGAACCAGGCCCCTGATCGCTGCAGGCCCTGGGGTGGACCCGGGGAGCTCCAGCGCCAGTTGGCCCAAGCAGCTGGGCATAGCTGTTTCCCTGTACACCTCAGAAAAGCAGCAGCTGCGCGGACTGCTGAACTGCAAAGCTGCTGCAGCAGGCAGGTTTGTGGGCAGGACAACTGGCAGCTCTGCATGTCGGGAGCCGTGGCTGAGAGCAGCTCTCCCTCTCTCCACGGCCCCACCCTTCTGAGCTACCTCCCTGCGTGGCTGAGAAAAAGCAGAGGCTAAAGCCCAGCTCTGCCACTGCCTAACGGCGGGGAGGGAGGCAAGCCTCGTCCCTCATAGGAGAAGGGCGTCCTGGAGTGAGACGGGAATACCAACCACAGACACTGTCTCACAGGTGGACACATGGAGCCTGGCGCCGAGCAAGCAGCCGATGAACAAAGACGGCTGCCGTGGGTCCCATGTCACAGAGGCCTCGGGTGATGACAAGCATCCTTCCATTTGCCACCTGAGCGCTTCACACGGGGGAAGCTGAGGTTTCTGAATACAATGCCAGGGAGGGTCCTGCCCGGGACCTGCTGGGACTTCACAGCCCCAGGCCCAGCTTCTGCCTCTTCCGTGTGCTGGCTGTGTGACCCTGGCTGTTTACTCAACCCCGCCTCCTCTGTGGATGGGACAATAATAACAGTGCCTATCTGAAAAGACTGAAATGAAGACCAAATGGAATAATGCACGTAAAAGGTTAGCCTAAGAAATGGTGAACCCGTATCGTCATCGGCATCGACATCCTGGCCACCAAAGAGAGTCCTTCCACTGTCCTTCCTGCCATCAGGTTTAGCGTCAGAACAGTGGCTGACTGGGCTGTAGGACAGTGGCTTAGAGCCATCCCTGCACCACAGGACCAGCTCTCGCAGGCACAGGCACCAGGCACCTCGGTGGACACAGAACCAGGAGTCCAGGCACCCCCTCTCCCTTTGAGAGCCGGGGGGTGCAGAGTCCAGCATGGCCCGTCTCCAGCTGGCCCACCTTTGTCTTTTCCCTGCTCAAAGGAAAAGTGGGAACAGTACTCCAGCACATTTCCCAGGAGGTCCCTGGAGGTATTAAATGGTTTACAGAAAGCCTTAGCAAGAAGGCTGTTTTCTAGAAAAAGTCTGTCTTTCCATCCTTCCTCTGGTCAGCCCCGGCCTGAGCTTGGTCACTAGGGTGACCACAGTGTGAAGGTCAGGGAGGACCTCCAGAGGTCTACCAGCCCCTGCAGCCCATCCGGCCTCACCCCGCAGTGGCAGAGGGTGACACACCTAGCCTGCCATCTCTGCCTCCCAGAGATCTCTTCCCTGATCCACCACAGGCAGCCCTGCCAAACCAGGTCCCGAGACAGGACATCTCCATGGACCCAAGTCCAAGATGGAGCTATGATGTCCTTTCAGAGCCAGTGAAGAGACACGGACCAGCAGGCAGTGAACAAACCTCTGCTCAGCAAGCACCGGCCATGTGGTCAATAGAAAAGGTAAGTGTGACTAAGTCCCACCCCATCCTGGAGGGCAAAGTTCCAGCACGTGAGGGAGGCAGGGAGGCCTGGCCTTCCATGGTCTGAGCCCAGCCTCCCGCCCTGGCTCACCCCTCCCCCTCCCCATGTCCCACATTACTGATGGGTTCCTGAACGCACCCCAATGTCTCATTCAATTTCTTGCACACCTACTATGTCCAGGCATTGTGCCAGGCAAGGCCCACAATAGAAAGCAAGCAGACTTGGTCCCGGAGTTAGATGCTCCCACGGGCCTCTGGGTGCATCTACTCTTGCCTGATTTCTGGGGCCATCTTACCCATTTCCCTGCAGGCTTTTCAAAGACAGGAGTGTATCCCCAGTATGTGTATCCCCAAGACGCACATACCAGGCAATAAGAAAGTGCTGGATCAACAGTCATGAACACAACAATGAGAAAGCCATACCCTCCTGTTCTCAGGGAGCTGATCTACTGCACCAGGTGTTTCCTGGGAAGGTTACATAACAGCCAGAAGACGCGGTCTCAATTTAAGGCTGTCTTCCCAGTGGTGCGGCCAATCGCAGCAGGAAGGAGCCTGCAGCCGGGGTACCAGGGAAGGATGCACAGTCTGAACCAGGCTCTGCACGCTACACAGGATTTGGTTTCAGGGCAGAAGGGAGGCCACACCAGGCAAGGCTGATAGCCAGGTTCAGGCAGGTGGAGAAACAGAGTAAGTACGGTTGAGCCAAACCCGGTGTTGCCAACAGACCCCCCGGGAAAGAAAGGCATGGCTGCCCCTGGGACACGGTTCTAATAGGTCAGTGGCCTCAGCTTCTCTTAGCAGCTAGTTCTGGCCCCTGTCACAGCCCCAACCTTACGGACTCTCCTTGAATCAGTTTCTATTTTCTCCTAAGCTCGTGCCTCCAGACCCTCTGTTTGTTATTCCCCGAGTAAAGCACTCGGAGGTGCGTTTCTCTGATTCATCCCAGGCCACTCCATCCACTGCAGGGTTTGGTGAGCAGGCCTGGGTTCCCATGCCTGGATCCCAAGCCATCCACGATGTAGGCTTGTCTCCTGCGCCCCGTCGTCTGTGGGAGTCGGGCACAGTCATGCACGGCAGTGTTGGGTGGGCCAGAGGGACACAGGCTGCTGGGTAGCTGGGCAGCTTCCTCTCGCTTCTCACCACCCACCCAGGGCCACTGACCTATAGAACCCCTGGCCGGACAGTCCTCCACAGAGTCTCCACCCATCTCCCGGCTTTAAGGACAGGCAGACCAAACCCCTCCTCCCCTCCATGGTGGTCTGCACTTTCCATCAGCCAAGAAAGAGACCTGTTTCAGAGACCACCACGTCATCCACTCCCACTCACGGGCCCTTCAGAGGCCCGAAGACCCCTTCAAAGAACACAAGCCTCAGAGAAAGGCTGCATACAGCCTTCCAGATTTGGGACATGAAGCAAGGAAAGAGTAAAGAATTCAGTAGGTCCTCAGTTCTCTAAGTGTGGTCCAGGGACCCCCTACAGACTCCCAAGATTCTTTCAGAAATCCACAAGGTCAAAACTATTTTCCTGACAACAGTAAGATGTTATCTGACCTTGATGCTCTCATTCTTTCTCAAATGCACAGTGGAATTTTCCAGAGGCTACATGATGTGTGGTATCACAACAGGCTGACTGCAGACAGGATGAGAGAATCCAGCTGATTTCTCTCAAGCCAGACAGTAATGGGATTTGCAAAACCGTGAAACGATGCCATTCTTCTCCCCAAACTA